ATGAAAATGTAATTATATCATTTACCCTAATTTGCCACCTAAAAAGGAAATGTTCAAAAAGTTCACATGCTTTGAATAAACCCTCGGCCTCCTCCTCCTCCTCCCACCGCAGAAACCGCAGTTCATCGATTTAGCTCTGAAGAGAAGCACCGGGAGTAGAAATCCAATCGAATGGCGAATGCTGCCGACGTAGATGCGCTGGATTTTGAGCCTGATGACGATGATCTCATGGACGAAGATGCCGCTGTTGACGTCGACGCCTCTTCTCCGAGAACTTCCACTCCAATCCCTAAGCTTAAATCGGCCATCACTGGTGGCGCTGTCACCGTTGCTTCTTCTATTCCTAAGAAAACTAAAGGACGTGGATTCCGTGAAGAAACCGATGCCGAACGTAATAATCGTATGTCTGGTCGTTTTGATTCTCTCGATTCAGATGGCGGCCCCGGTCCTGAACGATGTAAGTTGCACTTGTTTTGCTTTTGAGTTCTCTTTGTGTCTCACGGTTGTTTTTTACTTAACGTTCAATTGATTTGGCGATTTGTTTAGATTTGGTCTAGGTTTTTTAGGTGTACTCTAGAATGGATGCATCTATATATTGACTTTTAGGTTTTTAGATGTGTTGCTCTTAACTTCACTCACGAAAGTAGGAAGGTTACCTTGAGGTTAATTATTAGGGTTGTTTTGCTACTGCTAAAAATTTTAGGGTTTGAAATTGTTTCTTAAAGATGGACCTCTGTTCTGAAAAGTTGTTAGGGGAAAATGACTATGGCGTGTATGCAGAAAGACCGACACAATTGGTGAAGGGTTTGTAAGGAAAACTTTGATCATAGATTTTGTGGATGTCTTGACGGATAGAAAGTGATGGGATGCAGGGGGAACGAAAGGCCAAGAAAAATCAACATAAATGTGAGAGGGAAAATGGTGGAGTAAATGTCACTCTTAAGCCATACTTCCTAGTTTTACTTGATTCATCATCTTATTACCATTCATTATGTCAGTCGGAAGAAAGGAAAAAGGGAGGCCCATGCCTGAGTGAGGAAGTCTATAGTAGTCGCTTGTTATCAAAGCAGGATCATGGTGAAATGAAAATGTTTATTTCTATTTCAAAATCTGTTATGCATCTTCTCTAAAACTTGTTTAGTCTGCTATCACTAGTTGGATTTTTGAGTTGCAATATGGGTGACATTGACTAGAAACATACGGTATTGGCTAGAAACATACGGTATCAATGCTAGTGATGGAGGAGCTAAGCAAAAAGCTCAACCACAAGGTTTATAATGAAACAATGAGACAATGCTAGTGAGGCTTGAATTTGGAAAGACTGAGAGGCCAGTTTCTGTCTTTAAGGATTTGAGACCGATCTTTTCGATGACATGTTGAAAATTCTGAGGCAATATGACAGTAAAAGTAGCAACTGTTGTCATATTTTAGGGGGTGTTTGGGATTGCTTATAAAAACAACTTATTGACTTATTCCGGCGTGGTATCGGTAATAAACACTTTTGAGTGTTTGGATAAACAACTTATAACGGTGTCAAACCAGTAATAAGTAGTTTTTGAAGAAGTTAAACCCTTATGACTTATAATAAATTGATAAGTGTTTTTGTAGAAAAGAATAAGTTGTTTTATATAAGCAATCCCAAACACCCCCTTAGTGGGAGTTAAATGCGGGGCCTTATCTACATATGAGAAGGAAATATTGGCAGTGGTGTTTGCAATTCACAAGTGGAACATGTTAACAACAATCATTCCAGGAGTTGCTCAAATACTCTCTAGTCCAACAAATGACAATGGTGTTGTGGCGTAAGTGGCTTACTGTGCATCTGGTATTAGATTTCTAGATAATGTACAAGGAGAGAGAACATTTCACACTGGTGGCATGGGGTCCTTGCTAGAGTGAATTCCCAACATAATCACTAAGATTGAAACCTTATTTTATTGGTCTGCTTTAAGAAAAGACTTCAAAGTTTTCGTTAAAGAATGCAATGCCTAGCAATAGAACAAAAATGAGAGCATAACAACCCCTGGCCTTCTACAACCATCTACCATTCTTACTCAAGTCTAGAATGACGTTGCATGGACTTTGTCGAAGGGCTACTTAATTCATATTGTAAGGACTCAATCATTAGTGAATTATCTTGGCTCAATAAGAGATTGGTAAACCTGAAACTCAACGAAGCTTGGTTCTTTAGATTTTTGACTATGGTTATGTATTCAAGTTCACAACATGAGTTGTAAGTTTATCTAACGGCTATAATTAAAAGCTTTATTTTGCTCTCAAGATATATGCATATGAGGGGAAATTATTGTCCATCAATGATTTTGATTTTTTACAAATGGAATGACATTGGTCAATTTGTTTCAATGTATTGAAGAGTATGACCATATGACATACTTAGATTCTAGTGTTGGAGAACATTATGTGTTGGATGTTCTACATTGATTCAGTCATGTCAAGACAAATAACATCAAATGCATTTAGAGTTGAATTTATCTCTCCTAGGTCGATTGAAATGACTGAAACAATCACCTATCATTCATGCGGTTAAGTTAATATCTGGAAAGTGACATATTTCAGTACCCCTGAGCTTCAAAGAAAAGAGATACCCTTGGGCTTTTTGTGTTTTGAGGTCAAACCTTCTATCTTTCAATGCTGGCTTTTTTCTTGTTGTTACTGATGTTGTTTGAGACTTGTGAGCTTACTTTTTGCAAGTATCTGATTGTGGCATGAGATGAGCAGTCCATGAGTAATAGTGTCTATTTGTACCTGCATATTAATATTACCTCTATATAGCTTCTCAATAGAATTTCCATGCTTCTATATCCCTCTGATTGGAGGCATACGTAAATTTGAGCCTGCATGGGAATATACCAACCAGTTTTTACCTTTTTTATTTTAGTTGTAAAAGAAGAGTATTGGTTCATGATAAATTTGTTAACAATATGAATTTCTGCAGCAATTGAAGGGTGGATTATTCTGGTTACTGGAGTACATGAAGAAGCCCAAGAGGATGACTTGCAAAATGCATTTGGGGAGTATGGGGAGATTAAGAACTTGCATTTAAATCTTGATCGCCGGACTGGTTTTGTTAAGGTGTGGTGATGTTTTTTGATTAATTATTGTTTCTTGATGTATTCTAAAAAGGTATATGATTATGAAGAGTTAAGTAGCTTTATACAGTTCTCTTATTAGGTAGAGAGCTGTATGATAGTGCCTAGACCTTTAAATCTTAAATGTTCTTGGAGGATATGGGGAAACAGGTAAATTTGTACAACATATCTGCCATTACTTGCACCAGACTTTCGACCTAGACTTGTAAATTGAAAAAATTATTAAAACTGGCCTTCTCATTTTTAGTTGAATTGTCAAGTAACATGATATCTCGTGTATTTGGAGCAACTCTAAGTAGTATAGTGTATTATTTTTGGCAATGATGGGAGTATGTGTCATTACAACTGTAACGAAATTAGTGAAATTTCAAAAACATGGTAGTAGGAAAAAGAAAAGCTAGTAAGAGAGCTCCAATTTATACAAAAAGTTTATGTAGGTCTCTTATAAACCTGCCGCTAATTATTTTTATCACCTATAAGATGCTCTAACATAAGAAATTTCTTCCTAGTATTTGGAGAATTTTTGCTTGGTGCTTGGCGAACTTGCACTTTTCTAGCACATGAAAGTTCCTTTACACACTTGTGTTACTTGTATGGCGTCTGCCTGGGTCTTGATAGAAAATGGAGTTACAGTCTTACAGGTGGTCATTTTTTTCATTTTGTGCCAAAATGTGGGTATTTTAGGAAGGTGATATTTTATTTTATGCCATGTACGATCTGAAATATTTTCTACAGGGCTATGCGCTGATTGAATATGAAAACTTTGAGGAAGCGGAGAAAGCCATAGCTGCAATGGATGGAGGTGAACTGCTGACTCAAACAGTCAATGTTGATTGGGCATTCAGCAAAGGTCCTTTTAGAAGGAGAAACAATAGGAGGAGGTATGCTGCTTATTGTTGTTTTTAGCATTCTGACTCGTCAATGTTTAGTTTTCTATGGCTGACTGGGGAGTTCGAAATATGATTGCATTAATATAGGATCATTAAGGATAGCTTTTTGCTTGTTTCAGACTTAGTACACGTGTGCCTGTTTTTTTATTGGATAACCCAAAGGAGAGCATTTTGTGGATGGTTTACATCTCTGAACCAAGATAACACTCCATCTGCCCCAAAATAAATGTCCACAATGAAAAATGCACACAGTTTAGAAACGTGTTTAGTGCACTTTTTAATTAACTAAGTGACAATATTATCCTTAATAGTTGAGGGAATAATGGATTTCTCAATCTTATAATTAAGGATAGAGTTGGAAATTGGACACTTACTTTTTGAAAGTGGATACTTATTTTGTGACAAACTAAGTTAGAAATTTGGACTATTATTTAGAGATGGAGGAAGTAGTAGTAATTTTCTCTTGAACTTGTGATGATGAGTTTTTAATGTTAATTATTTATAATTGGTCAGATCACCTCGTGGGCATCGGTCAAGAAGTCCAAGGAGGAGATTTTGATGTGGTATAATACCCTTGAATCAACGGTGTGGGCGGACTTGTTTATGTTTAGGTTGAAGGGAGTAAGTTTAACTTGTCTAATCACATTTTCAATCTTATTTGATTTGCTTTTGCTCGTTTGAGTGTTACTTTGAAGGCCGTTCAGTTGTGTATCCGAAGGTTTAGCTTATCATTGTGTATGGTATGAACTGTGAAGACAAAGTCATTGTTCTGCATTTTGTAACCGAGTTTGGCGTTTTACATCTTTCGAACATAAGATTGGATGTTTTTGGTGTCTTTATTTTTTTAATTTTGGTATAAATTCATTGATTGAATGGTTTCAAAAGAAGTGGAAGAATTATGTGCTGGAGATGTAGGTTACAGTTGAACTAAGCACAATTGACTGAAGTAGTTCTTTTAGGGTGCGTTTGGTGCGCAGACTGGACTGGACAGGACGGGACGGGACAGGACAGTTGTTCAGCGTTTGGTAAGACAAGACAGGACAGGATAGAACTGGTTAAAATGACCAATTTACCCCCAATGAGTTGTTTAGTGTTTTTTCACTACGAAATGCATTCTGGTAACACTGGTCCTACTACCACTACAGCCCTAATAATTCATCATCAACAACAACAACAACATTCAACAATCATAATCAATGTAAACTCTCGAAATAAATCATAATACTTCATTAAAATCTCTAATAAGTACTTTAGTTAATCAAGTTGTTGGCGAAATCGAGTACGAAACCACCATCAAAATATAATTCCTTACTTGCATGAAACAAGAATAAAGGTATTTGAAGAGTTTCTTCAAATTCGTGATGTAGTTGCTGTAAGAAGCAGCAGTGGCCATCGGAGAAGCAGCGGCGGCGGCCATCGGGAGAAGCGGCGGCGGCGGCAGCCATCGGAGAAGCAGCAGCGGCGGCCATCGGAAGTCGCCGTCACCGGTCGCCGGTTGAGCGGTGGAAGCGATGGAGGAGAGGAGAGTGAAGGGGAAGAAGGAAGGTATGCRTATGAGGTTTTTGAGGGTAAAGTGGTAAAAAGTTTCTTGTTCTACTTAGTTCCATGGGTAAAGGGTGGACAACCTTGTCCCACCCTTGTTCTAGTTTGTTCTAGTTAGTCCCACATAAAACCACACCAAACATAGGACAATTGTGTTCTGTCCTGTCCTGTCCCACCCTGTCCAACGTACCAAACGCACCCTTAGGGCTTGTCTTGTATGCAGGATGGGACAGAACAGAACAAAAGAAATTGTGCCGTTGTTTGGTGAGAAATTAGATTCATGGGCTGTTTACCCAAATGCTTACCCGATAAGCGTTTATCGGTAAAAGTCAACACTATGATTTATTTTGATGTGTGAGATTTTAGTACATCAAAACATATCAAATGCAACAATTTACTGGGTAAGAGTTGTTATCCTCACTTACCTGTAAGACTCCTTCTCATTCCCTATAAGATTTTTTGCCCTTCTCATGTTCATCCGATGAGGAAATTTATCTGATAAGCACTTATCAAGTAAGTGTTCAGTAAACGGTCCCTGAGACATGACGATGATCAAGTGTGACGAATATGTTTTCTGTGTCTCGTCAAAATAAGTGGAACAAGAATAAGGAAAGATAAAATAAGATAGAGTAAATTATTAAACTATTTATGTCAATTAAACGTTAAAACTTTGCACATTTCTTTCTCCTGCATACTTTAGAGTCAACTCCTCTCATCTTAAGACTCATTATTGCCAACACAATGTTGCATAATGGCATTGTTGTATATGGAAGGTGATTCTCATTGACAAATCTCGCTTCAAGATGATTTTTTTCATCTATCATTCTTCTATAATGATGAGAATGGCACGTTTTAACTTTTAACCTTGAAAAAAAACTTGCAAAAGGCCTTGCATTCATATCAAGGCTTGCAAAGTATCTAAATAAGATTCATGATTAAAAAGAGATCTAAACGAAATGGGCAATACATGCTTTTATTTGCAAAACCTACTACTTAAATCACGAAGTCTTCCAAAAGCTTTTACATAAAGAGAGAGGTAGGATGGGATAGGTTGAATACACCCTACCTGCTAATTTCTTTATCATACACAACCATATCAAAACTTACTTTTTATATTATTAATGTATGACATGATTGATTCTGACATAAATGGGGGTGCAAATAACATCCGGTGAGGAATAGCTTAACGAATGCCTAAAGGATTGTTTGGTTTGGTTTTCTTATTAAGTCTTGTATGAACAAAGATGTCTATATGGATTGAGAAGGTTTTTGTTAAAATGGTTCTTTAATAGATGAAATGTGTACATTAAAAATTTATTAAATAAGTCACTTTCTATATTATTAAGTCATCATCAAACAATCATGTATAGTTGACTGAATAAACTGTAAATCATATTAAACTCATTAATAAAGAGACCTAAGTCTTTCAAAAAACCTTTTGAGAAAAGTTTTCTCCAATACCAATAAGTCATTTCAATCACTTTTCTAAACAGTAAAAAGTCTTAAAAAGTATTGCAACTTTGGTCCTTAAGTCTACTACCAAGCGTAGAAACTTTCGTTCTTTGTCCACTAAAACACATACTAATTCATTAACTATACACAAATACATAATTTGGGCTCCAAAATTTCTAACTTTCACATACGCAAAAGCATGCATGACTTGCATTTCCTCCATCATATACCAATGGGAAGTGATACTTCTCTACTTTCATTAGTTTCATCTATAAAAGAAAGGGTTTGCTCATCTTCATCTTCATCACCATCATTATCATCATCATCATCATCTTCACTAACATCATCATCCTCATCATCTTCACTGACATCATCATCATCGTCGTCGTCGTCATCATCTTCAAAACGAATACTATCCATAATAATTGTATGCTCGTTATTAGGATCATCGTTTAATCCAACTAATTTATTAGCTTCTGTTTTTTCCTCGAGCGTTTTAGCCAGTGACAAAAGAATATTCTTAGCTTTCTGATCGGGAACAACCCCACAAGATTCCATCTCTTTGAACCAAATCACCGCATCCCCGAAATCCCTATTCTTTCCATACGCATCCATAATCGTGGTGAATATAGTCTGATTGGCTTTGATACCCTGTATCTGCATTTCCTCGTATTTCTGCATCATCGTTTCAAGATCATTCGCTTTTGCATAACCTTTGATTAGAGTTCCATACGTGACAACATTAGGTTCGAGTCCATCTTGTTTTATTCTTTTAAAGAATTGCTCTGCTCCCTCCATGTCAGATGCGTTCACATACGTTGATAACATAGTTGTGTAAGAATAAAGATCGGGAGTACATCTGAAGAAGATAAACATAAGTGATTTATGTCGGCTTCCGCCTTCAATATGTCAATCGGACATAAAAAGATTTGGTTAACAATCAAATGAGAACCATAAATATTTTGAGAGCCGTGAGAACCAGTATATGCATCAATGTATAGAGTTATGGTACAAAGGAAAAAAGATCAAATATATTTTGAGAATCGTGAGAACCGGTATATGCATATGCATATAACAGCTGTACACTATATGAATTTCAGTGAATATATGCATCGATGCATATATACTAGTTGCATGCATAGTAGATATGCATTGATGAATATACTCATTGACATAATACAAATTTAGATAATGTATATGCATCAATGCATATCTGGGTTCTCACAATCCTCAAAATATTTATGGTTCTCATTTAACTTCAATCTTTCACCAAACATGGGAAGGTAGCTTATTTTGTGGGCATTCCAAAAAGGAATATACTGTGATACCTGTAGAACAGAGTATATGGCAAGAAACCTTCTACCTAATAACTTAATTCAGTTATTTAGACTTTTAGACCGTTTTTAATGCATGACCTTCTAACAAATTTAACCTTGTTAACACAAGTTTCCCATATTACTGTAGTGACAAAAAACACCTCCCTTAAAACTTATACAGGCGCTATTTATACTGCTGTACTTTCTTTTTCTTATGTTTAACGTATCTGTTTTTCTCCCTTTCTCACCCTTTTCACTAGCCGCCCGAGGGGGGGGGGGGGTCTTCAAGGAAACAACCGTTCTACAGGCTGGTTTAATAAGGGTGCTATTTCTTTTTCTTATTTTTATATTCAGGGTGTACCTGATGTTATTTTTACATATCAAAACTGTAAGGTTTCTTCACTAAAACGCTACATTTTTTTAGCTCTAAAAGTGATCCCATAAGCATGATCTCTTTTTGTGAAGAATCTTACCTGTCACGTCGCATGCTCTTGAAGACAATCTTCGCCTGATCCACCATGCCGGATATTGCAAATGCATCAAGCAAGATGTTATAGGCTTTTTGGGTAGGCCTAAAACAAACAAGAAATTTGAAAACGGTAAGCACTGGAATTTTTTAAAAAAAAACTTGGCTTGTGTTGATGTTCTCACATTCACACAACATTCTTTTATCAGTGAAAATATGCATACCGTTTATAACAATAACATTACAATTGTCCATGAAATACAGTAGCAGAGGCCTCAACCACTTTTAAAGAATAAGCCCATTATAACCCGCCAACATATTCCGAATTCTAAGTCACGTCACCGGAGTTTTCAATTTTTATGTTCCCATCCAATTATGATTACATGAGAACCAAACCTGTTAATTTTGCCTCAATTTGGACTTCCTATGATTCCAATCTACAAATTTTAATGGCACCTCAACATCCTTGTGACTCTGTAGTCTGTTCAATTGTCTAGGTGATCAACAACCTCAACTAGTTTTGATGGGAGATTCTTATTCACTAGGCAGCCTCAGCAACTACATGGCTTTTGTTCTTGATTAATTGTGTTTGGTTTGGGGAGGAGCTCCGTTCAATTTCAGTGCTCAACATACAAGATTCCAATGTGTTTTGGATCACAATGTACTCCTCCATTGCTATCAATACAGTCCCTTTTCCCAGAAAAAGATTTTTGGTCCAACCAAAAACTACCAGAAAATTCATAAGTTTTACCCCAATAAGTAGCTTCAAGCAAGTGAAATATCCAGACAAAAAAATGACAATAACATGCATGTTACGATCCAGAGAAGGTCAGACATTAGGATCAGCGAAAGTAAACTAAAAGACATGTTACTTAGCCACAATTTAACTATGAGAATGAAGGACGAGCACACCTCACACCAGCATCCAGCATCTCTTCAAAAACAGCTAATGCCTCTTCTTCCCTTCGGGCTTTACCATAAGCACTAATGAGTAGCGCGTAGCTAACAACATCAGGTCGCACCTTAGCTCTTTGCATCTACATGATTAGTTATGTCGGTCAGAGTCAAGAAGAAACTTCTGCATTACTTGAAATTAAATGGATTTACGAGCATCCTTTAGTGATTTAGAAGTACTTGGGTGTTGCATACATGTCAATTTAGCTGTATGCAGACTTCGACCAAGAGAAGCAAACAATAATTGTAAGTACTTAGGGGAAGCAAATAGCATATAATGATTCTCTAGTAAGAAGTTGTTGGATAGCAATGAAGGTCAAACTTCCTTATTTTCTCAAAAACTGACAACCACACTTCTCAAATTTGGATTTGCACCATGCAAATTTTAAATAATATACCAAGGCAAATGAAATCCAAGTTCCCAAGAATCACCTTAGACCTTTTTTTGCTATGTTCACCCCAATATCTCCACTCTTTACAAGATATACCTAGAACTTGCCAAAATAATGAGAATAGAAGTGCCACTTTTCTAAACCCAGATAAGGTTTGCTTATAAATAGTCTTTCACAATGATAGAAACTTTGTACTATGCAATGTAATTAGGAAGACTGTATTAGTTTTCAATAATTTCAATTAATCCCATCAATAGTAAAAAAATTGAACAGCAGTGGCTGCTTTCTCAACTGCTAAATAGGCAGGCAGTATTATGATCTGAAAAGTTTCTCATTTATACCAAACCAAACCAACTCAATATACCCCACACAGAAGTAGGGTTTGGTGGGATAGGATTTACATAAACCTTTTTCTATCCCAAGGGTAGTGAGGTTGTTTCTGTGGAGACCCCCAGCTTGCAAAACAAAAACAAAAATACAAGGAGACAAGTGAAACAAAAGCGTAGTAGAGTGTGTGCAACATGCAACAGGTACCATGAAAAAAAGGAGGCAGGGACACATGAGAGACATAAGATAAAACAAAGAGGGAATCACAAAGTGCAGTACTGACAACCACTAGAACATGAAGGAAAAAAAGACTGGCATATAGTAAAAGCATAATGCTTCCTTCGTAACTCCCGGAACTTCTTCGTAGTGGCTCCCTTCCATGCCTCATTTCATAGGGAACCTCAAAGTGGCTCTATTTCATTATATTCCATCCATATCCCAATTCCATTCATTTAATATCCTTTTGGTGTCATTGACATAACAGATAAAACATGAAAAGTAGGAAAAACTAAAACAACTCTCTATCTGAAGTAAAGCTCTTGTAACCTAAGTATCACCTCTCCAAACTCCCCGCCTCCCATCCATGTTATCTACAGGTCCCCCACATAGTCCACTACCTTAGTCCTCATTTCTAGTCGTATTTGTAAAGTACAAAAGTAAGCCACTTTGGCTGTATTCAGCATTATAGAACTAGAAATTTCTAAGAAAGGGACCCATAGTTAGCTCAGAACAAGCAGTACCCAATATCAAGCACATATATACTAGAAGGATCACATTCTACATGCTAGTTCATCACAATACTAAAGTAGCTGGAGAACTCAGAATACGCATCTCGCTATGATAATGCTTTCCACGGACAGCCCCCTGCCTATGACACTGAGATTTTAAGAATTGCCTCTGTGTTGTCAAATGAGCTGTTGCAAATCAGCTAGCATCGAGGGAAAATACATAAAGGTGATAATTAAAGCCAAGAATCTCCGAAACCCAAGTAAGATGTCTTTTCAATGTTCACGTATGACCAGAAATCTACTTGACTCATCTTTAACCAGCAAAATCTGTATAAAAGCACTAGAGACAGAATTTCCAAAGATAAAAGAGAGGACTTTTCACCATTCACGATCAATTAGGATCAAAAAAGATGTGAATCTAAATAAATCCGAAAACATATATCCTCTTTTAGCTTACCTGATCATAGATTCTTGCAACCTCCTTATAATTAGATTCAAATGACATCAAGCTATTATAAGTTACTGAGGTTTGCTGCAGTCCTCTTTCAGTCATCATTGAAAATAGCTTCCGTGCCTTATCATTGCTCCCTGCCTTTTTGTACATATAAATCATCATGTGAAACATCTGTTGGTCTGGTTTTAAAGGTGAAACCTCATCGGTTAAAATGGTTTCAAATATTTCTTCAGCTTCTTTAAACTTGTCTGCCTGCAACATCCATAGATCCAATAAAGAGGTTCAAGATCCAAAGATACAAGTAAGAAGCGGAAACAATAGTATACTAGTCCCTTCCACACAAAAATTAAGTCTCAATTTAACGTCTGGAGACTGGAGGTAAATGGACTACTTTTCAGCTTGGACCAGTTTAAATTATTTAGGTACTGCAAATAGGAATGCCTTGGTGTCAGAAGTTCCAAATGTTCCGTTTCAATTTTTGAATTTGGGAAGTACCAGATTGAATTTTCAATAGGCGAGTGGACTCCTACGAGGAACAATGTGCTTCTTTGGGATACGCAAATTGAAATAATTTCTTTTGATAAGACTGACTCCAACTTAACTAAATTGGAAGCTATAGGACACTAGCAAGAAACGGATACACGAAAACCACCACACTGCTCTTTCAGCAAAGCTTTCCAAATGACAAGTCATATTCTGCACTTTCTAACCTAGTGACTATCAATAGCATATGTATTGCCATTGTATTAACATGTAGGGTGATGCCAGCATGGGTCAAAAATGCAATTACAATACAAGTAGAATACTGTTTGGAAGTATTTCAGAGTTTTCCCATAATTCATCCATGAGAAGAAACCTCAAAGACATACATGAAATTACAATAGACTAGAGATAAATTATGATAAAGATAGAGAATAGATAAAAATACAATGTGGCGATGCATCTAACAATCCTTAATTTGATATATAGAATGATCATCACGGATAGCCTCATCAGTTGATCTATTGGAGTAATGAGTTCCCAGTTCATGCAATAAATGCTTAAACCAAACATCACCAATCATTATCATTTTCATTCCCCACCTTCTAATACCCCCATCCAAACGCCCCCTAAATAATCTCGAACCAAATCCCTATATTACAAAATGTGGGTTCCGCCATAGTCTATATAAGCAGTGAATGACTACTTGTTTCATTTTGGTGGGGAAGTAACAGTCACATAGAATACAGTTGCTTCTTTTTATCTCAGAAGTATAATCTAAAACATAGCACATTTGCAGTATTGAATGTATTGTAGGAAAGGAAGTACTACAAACTTGTAAAACAGCAGACAGCAATAGTAATGATTTGTTACCTCAACAAATATCTTAAGAATTATTTGATATGTTACAGCAGAAGGTTCAGGTCCAGAGGATTGCATCCTTCTGAAGATTGCTTCTGCCTTGTTGCACTGACCTCCTTTTCCATATGCTTCCATAAGAGCAGTATGTGATATAACACTTGGTGGATAGCCCTTCTTGTTTATATAGCTGAAAACTCTTTCTGCTTTGTTAAAGTCCCCTTGTTTTCCATAAGCCGTAATCAGCATCAGAGCATCCATTTCATTGAAATTCCACCAATGCTGAGTTCGAAGCCACTCAAGAATCTACAAGAATAAAAAATCAAGCCCTAATAAATAGTCCAATAGTTTAATCATGATATGCTATGATAAAATGCCATAGCTGAACCTTCTGTAACTTTGTGTATATAACTAGAGCAGAAGCAATAACAGAGATACCCAAGTTAATCACCTACCAGATTCGAATCTATTAGCATATATAGACATCAGGACACAAGGTTCCAAAAAAAGAATAGAAAACTAATTGTCAGAATCTAGCTTGTCACATGTCCTAGTTTCAATGTGATGCAGAAATGCCGCCATGGTTTCAAGTTGATGCATAGAGATGTACAAATCTGTGAAAACTATTTGTACAGTTATTTTATAGAAGCATATGGTCCAAGAGAAGTTCAGATAACTAAACAATGAGATATGCCTCAGTTTTTGGTCATTTGTTGTAAGGTTACCCCTGGGATCAAACATACTAAAAGCCAATATTTTATGAAGTGCAGTCCTCTAACTACATTTTAGAAGCATAATGCAATTATTGAGGGTAACTCAAGAAGAAAATGATGGACTGTATACCTCAGCAACAATATTCCATTTCTTTTGCTGCTTAAATCTAACCAAGGTTCCCAAAACTAGTTCCTTGGGAAGAGGTTGATTCTTCGTCCTTTGTGTTCTGAGCACAGAAACAGCAGAGCCGACCTCATCAATTTCATTCATCATCTTCCTCCAGTTCTTTTGATCTGCCTCATCAGCAGCATCCTCAAAAACTTCTACCTTTTTCCTTCTCTGCATAAACTTTCTGGGTGCCAACATACCTTGACAGACCACCTTTGCTCGTCTTTGGCAATTGAAGTTGGCATTAACTCGACATATACCAATAATATGCTCACTGGAGTATTGAAGCATGTAAGCAGATTATTGTAATAATGTCCTGAAATGACTAAATTCATGGGAGAAAAGAGATGATAACTGATGCAAGCACAAGAACATGTGTGGGTAGCAAAGTATGTGGACTTATATATACATAAACTACTAAAGCAGCTTTCTTTGTTACTGTTGGACATGATATCAATAAGCCGGAACTTATTCACATGTGTTCTTACCCATTGCAATCTAGTTATTCCTTTATCTTCCCTAACCTACTATTATCTTCCATAGTGGGTTTTCAACAAAGCTGCTACTGGTACATGACCATAGTGACAATTTGTTTCCTTTGCACTTGTACAGTTTTGGTCTAGTACATCATCAGACGGGTTTCATAATCTCCATATGATGGGTTGCATCATCATTTATTAGATACTTCTCAAAATCAAATACGTTCCATTTTTTTCCTATAAACATACTATATTCTCAATTTACATCTTGGTGTATACTATTTTCTTCAATTTATATCTTGGCATGGATATGGATAAATTACTTCTTCAAGACCAAAAACTTCAACATCCATAGAGTTCAACATTGTATGATGAACCATGATTGCGACATCCCATGAAGTTAGTGAAATGCATCACCCTTACACCATTCAAAAAGGAAAAAGAGGGATGCCCCTTAATTTTCTGGTCAAACCTAGTGCTTAACTTCTGATTCTCTCTGTAAAAGGGCCCTTATAGAGAGGGAGAGATTCAAACTTCCAACACATATATATATAGGTTAGATGGACTGTGTCTAGCTGATGTGGGACTCCCACATGCCCCCTCGAACCGATGCTAAACAGTGCCCCAAGAACAAAGGCGAAAGAGTGTGTCGATCCCAATGAAAAAAAGTGGGGGCTTTATCAAGAATGTGTTGATGTTTTCGTTCGGTACGACCATTTTGTTGAGAAATGTCAGAACAAGAATATATGGTGACTTGTTGGTGAAGAAAATGAAGAAAGGAGGCAGTATATACTCCCTTGCATTATCCACACGAATTACTTTGATGTGTTTTGGAGAAATGTGTAGGGATCATTTTAGCGAAATGCCGAAATCATTGTATGAAATTGTGGAAGTTAGGATATGTGGGAATTGGTTTTGACATTGTCGTTTTCCCAGTAGACAAGATAGGTAAGAGTGGGAATTGGTTTTGACATTGTTGAATCTATTCGGATAAAATAAGCAATTTAAGCCTATCAATTTAAAAATGACTAGGCGAGCATGCCAAGTATTATTGAGTAGACACGAGATGTGGGTGCAGATATGGATGCGGCTAACAGTGTTTAGGATGGGACGGTAGAATGAGGTAGACGAAGATAAACTAACTTGAACATTCGTCCTACTTTACAGTGATAGTTTGCTTGATCTTTGGCTTTTGTACAAGACAATTAAATGAAGAAAACGTAAGGCAAAACCTGTATCACATAATTGACTAACTAAAATAAGACGGAGAGTAAGGATGGGAATATGAATTGTATTCAAAAGAGAGATATGAGACGTGGATATATGACCACCCAACTTGACTAGTAGTCTTGATCTTCAACAGTAAAAGTTGAGGTAAGGTGTTTTGGTGGTTGTTCGGTGACAAATATATCTGATTGTAATGTCATATGGTTACATCAGCCAGAATCAAATAACCAATTTTGTTCAGTGATTGTGATGTGATGTCAAAAATGATTTCATCTTATTTGTCAATATATAGATATCCATTATGCTTACTATGACTGTGAGGGGGGGTTCCTAGGATGAAATGAAACTTATGTTGCTTATAACACGTATGAACTTACTTAAACCTTATCATATAATTATTAGAGTACAGGTGTACAACAGAGGTCGAGTACTCCAATCAACTTTCTTCAAAGTACAAGAAAAATGTGTAATTTGCATAACTCGCCATAGTCAGGATTTTTCTTCAGGTAAAACAAAGAAATACGTAGCAACTGTAATTTTATCATCTAAATAAACTACATATCCTGCTAATTGCTGAAGGTAACGAACTCTAACAACGAAATTGAATCAATCTAGTTTTATCTGAGCAACAAAACGATACAATTGACTACATAAGCAAGGAGAAGTTCAATTAAACCTAAAACTGCATAGAATTATAAAAGTTCAAATGAAAATATTACTGACTTGGAATGTGAAATTGAAGAATGACGGCGGCGAGGAATGGAGAGAGTGTGAGGGAGTGAAGCGGCCATTGTATTTGTCAGTTCTCTTTCGGCAGCCAACAGATAATTGAGACTATGGCAAGGTTCGTACGGTGGCTGTGGTTGACGGAGGAAAGTGGAGCCACCGTGAGACGGCGTCGCCGGTTGGAGAACTGGATTGAAAGGTTGCTGGAGTAACAAGATAGGATATTTAAGAGATCGTTTCAGGAGCGAGGTTTAAACAGGGGTTTTTATTAAAATAAAACTAGAAGCTTACTCGCGCAATGCAACGAGATACATCGTGATTTTAATATTTTATTTTATTTTTTATCTCAGTCGATGTTATAATATG